ACAAGACTTTGGTTGATAGCAGAATTTTTGGGATAATTTGATCTCGAATGTGGTAACGATGCTTGATTGGATGTCACTTGTATCTGACAAGCTGGTCGTTCTGGCTCAGTAATAGTGTTCTTTTTAGCTATAATCGCATTCGCTGATGCAGAGGACTTGGCATGCGGAGTAGGCTGATCAGAAGACAGGTTAGGATCAAGGTCGGAGTCGGAGTCGGAAAAGTTAAGTGTAAGTGCAGCGAGGCGTGTCCTGTCTGTTTTCTCATGATTTTGTGAAATCCCCATAAAGAAATAGTACGAGCATTAGAGAAAGTAAGAAAACGTGTTAGAAATATGTACATTGGAAACAAGTTAAAGAGTTAATCGAAATAATTCGTCTCTAATAAAATTAGACAGGTGATTCAAGCAACCATTTATTTAGAAGTTATTTGATCTTGCTTTCAAAACTTGATCATATCGGCGGGAAGACCTAAAGAGCCTGCCTTGTCACGAGTCTATAGTATGTATACTAATTTCCAGAGTTGGATCGTGGACGTAGTACATTCCTATGTTTCCTGGCACCGTCAATGAGCTTTGCCATTCTTAGCTCTACATTGAAACTCGTCAGAGACAATTGAAATCGAACATTTTAACAAGTGTCTGCTAAACAGTTGTGGTATCTCTCCTGACATGGGCTATTCACCTATCCCCCCTCTTGCTCCGTAAGATTCTACTTTTTTCTGCCTGTTTCAGTGATTTCACTCTATCGCTGCAACATCCGTGTTGCTCAAGGCGTTAGCTTGTGTAGTCTGCCTCATAGCACGTATACACCAGCTTCATTGAGCGAGCTGGATTCTCAATTGGCATGACAACTTAACTTGACGCTTCAGATTCTCTTGTCACTGCGCAGCATGTAAATCTTGTGGTCAAACCTTGAGGCTGGTAAATACGTGCTATCAAAGGCTTTAGGAAGAATGTAGAACATAACGTCTTGAGTAGCACGGATATGGTGGCAGCGATGGCGTGAAATCACTGAAACAGGCAGAAAAAAGTAGGATCTTACGGAGCAAGAGGAGGACTCTGATATGACCCAAAGGGAGGATTACGAATTAAACAACAGCCTTAGATCGATACCTCCAAAACAGCGGAAGGGATGCTTGGAATCAGAGCGTGTGAATAAGTTTCAAAGAGGCTTAGATAAACAGGTAAGAAATTGTGATATTGAAGAAGTGATACAAAAGTATAGGGTATGTAAATAGCCCAGAAGAGAAGAAGAGATATCACGATGGTTTATCAGATAGTTGGTCAGAGTGTCGACTTCACTTGTCTCTGACTAATTGTAATGTGGTGCTAAGAATGGCAAGGCCCATTGACGATGCCGGTGAAACGTCTGGGAATGTACAAAGTCCACGGTCCGACTCTGGACAAGATGTGCTCCTCTA